CTGGATACTCCTCCCCCCACTATGAGAAGAGGCGTATCAGGTAAGTACCAACGCCCTTTCTATTCTATTCTAAAGAAGTAAGTATTGTGATGGCCTTCCACCAGTGCAAAACATACACTGTATGATCTTGCTTGAGAAGGACTCCAACTGCATCTGTACCAAGTGCAGTGCAGCTGAAAGAGAAAGAGAATGGCTGGAATATCTAGCCACATTCAGATTCACCAGGAAAGACAAATATATGTAGTTGCCACAATGCAAAAAGGATTTGGGACAAGAAGGAAAGAGTGCAAAGAAGAATCATGAAGCTAGGAGAAGTTTGGAAGCTAAATCCCAGCGTCCTGGAATAATGAATACACTATCACTGGTTGGATAACAAATGTCTGGGACGGTCTGAGGATTCTTGCCTTGGTCAAGGGATTGGACTAGAACAGTGATGGCTAACCTTTTTGTTGTTGAGTGCCAAAAATGGAAGTGTGTGCGCGTGATAGTGCACAGGTCTGCCAGCACCCATAATGCAAAGCATGCTCCCACATGCGCATGCACGCACAATCCCCCTACGCTCCTCTCCACGTGCACCACACTGCTTGCCTCCAAGCTGAGCTTGATATTTCCTCCGTAGGGCAGGGGAAGGCAGTTTTCACCTTTCCTAGGCTCCCAGAAAGCCTCCAGAGTCCTGGGAAGGCAAAAAACAGGCCCAATGGGCCTCCCCAGGCTCCGGAGGCTTTCCGGGAGCCTGGGGAGGGTGTAATCCGTCTCTCCCAGCCCTCTGGAAGGCTGAAAATCAGCTGGAGCTGACAGCTCGCGGGCCGGCAGATATGGCTCTGTGTGCCACCTGTGGCATGCGTGCCATAGGTTCGCCATCACGGGACTAGAAGATCTCCAAGGTTCCTTCCAGATCTATGATTTGATCTATAATGCATATTTTTTGCTTTACACATTTGTTGACTCTAATAATTTGACAGTTCTTAAAAACTAGCTATCCTGCAGTAGCTATTTACCTGCTTTGATTTTATTTATTGTTACAGTTTTCAACTATGACATGCTCATTTTTGTCTTAGAATTACATATTTTACATACATGGTCCTTAAAATGCATATTGATGGTAGAAATAATATTTTAAATTAATATTTATCTAATTTTTTAAAATTATGTTTTCCTTTGTCTATACAATCAATTATACATTTAAGGTATGAGGTACAAAAGAACAGAAGAACTACCTGAAGCAGGTAGAGAAGTTTTCATTTAGTTTTATAAAGATTTATTTGTGGCTGGAGGATAAAAGTTTTGACTCCTGTTCCAGTGACCTTTAAATTGGATCAATTTCAGTCTGTAAATGAATCTTTTTTACTTGGCATTATTGTGAAGAGTGAAAAGATGGGGGATATTTTAGGGATACATTATTTTTTTTATGGACCAGCATATTAGACCTTAATAGAAAAATAAATAATATATATATTCACTATCTTAGGTGGTATGCATTCATCAATGGGTAATTAATTTAAATAATCCACAGTATATGTCATGCCTATGAAGAATTTTCACCCCAGATTATAGGGGTTTTCTTATTGCCATTGCGTGAGCCTAAGAGGTATTATATTTCATATTCTCTTACACATGTTTATATGGGCATATTTTTGTCTTGACTTGAAAAGCAGTGATTTTGATACGATGAAGTGGGGTGCTAGGCATATTAAATAAAATTGCTAGACTGAGAAAATGAAGATGTTTTATTTTTGAATACTTCAGCTATTTTTATCATTACCGAGTGGAGACAAAAATGTGGAAAGAATGGTGTACTAAAATAGTGTTTGCATCAGCATATTTCAGTTTGGCGTCATAGATTTTAAAAAATAGTCTGTGAAAAGCCACTGAAGATTTGGGTGAGTCATTAAAGCAACCAGAGGACAAGTCTAACATAGAACTGACATTTGCTGTAAAATTGGTTGAATAAGAAATGTGAAGGTAAAAACTTGAATATGGGAATTAAAGTCTAGACAGTTTATGCAAAAGGTTCGTTTGTGAGGGAATCTATTTTAAAGATAATACACGTTATCCAGGGGTGGGCTGCTACGGGTTCACCCAGGTTTGGGAGAACCCATAGCTAATGTTATGGCTGGTTCAGAGAACCTCCAAGTCCCACCCCTGATTGGCCCCGCCCTGTCCCTCCCCTCCCAGGAGTCTCCATGTGGGCCGTTTTGGAGGTTCTGGGAGGGGGGAAAATGGGCCTCCCGGAAGGCCTCTGGAGCCCAGGAGAGCAGTTTTTGCCCTCCCAGAGGCTCGAGGAAACTCTCTGGAGCCTGGGGATGGTGGAAATACCCCCCTGCTGTGGTGCAGGAGGCCAACTAGGCTATGCCCACCATGGCAACACCCATCCAGCAACTGGGCAAAGAACCATTGCTGGAATTTTTGAAGCCCACCCCTAACATTATCTCTATTTTTGAGATTCAACTAAGTAATTTTCATGTCGTAGAGTTATATGTCTAATTTGTATTGATCAAATACCAGAATATTTGATTCATAGAGACATAAGATTAGGGTCAGCTTATAACTAAAGATTGACATATCACTTTGTCGAATGTTACCCTTTGTAATATAGAACATACATCTTTCATGTGTACAAACATTGTAAATATGTAATCATGTAGTTTTCATTTCTCCTAGTCCCAGATGCTCACGTCTGAAGTATTCAGGTTATTGGAACTGTTTATTCTTCCAATGCGAAAGTAGTCAAAAGTTGAACTTTTTTTCAGGCTAATTTCTATTATATTTTATCATGCTATGAAATTACGATACATTAAGAACTACAAAAATAATGATAACAATTGCAGGAGGCAAAAACTTAAACATTCAGACCTGAATCAGTAAGCACATTTTTATGGTTTAAAAATAGACATAATTATACATAAGCACTGCACTCCCTCTTTAGATGGCAAAGTATTCACTATAATCAATTCAATTTTGTTGGCTTACATTTTTTTCCATTCTTCCAATCTAT